ATAAAAAATAGGTAGAAGCACAAAAAGGAAACAATAAAGAGCATAAGTTAATAAGTATATCGAACTTTCCTTTGAATAAATTCGCACTCTACAATATTCCTTCAATTTTTTGTATATTTTTTTTTTTTACGCAATATGTTCAATACCTTTTTCTTCAAAATTAACTAACGCTTTTTGCAACACCTCCACCTGCATCAATCTATCGTCTATCTGCTTCAACCTATCGTCTACATTCTTTTTCAATCTCTTATCTTCCTCTTCTAGCCTCTCCTTCTCACTTTCACTAAAGTCATCGTTTATTCTCATTTTTTTCCTCATCTCTTCAAGCCACTTCCCATCGTTCTCCCCTTCTTTGAACTGCTTCAACTCTGCTTCTGCCTTTACAAACATATCTTCTGACTTTTTCATATCTTCTCTTATTTCTTCGATCGTTGCCATTTTTTAAAGAAAAAAATTAATTTTTTTAAATTTAAATTGTTCTCTATGCATAATTTTGGACCAATGATCACTAGGAACGGACGGTTAATTAAGATTTGGTTAATTAACCGGTTAATTAACCGTTAATTAACCATAATATACAATTTATATAAAAAAAAATTTTTTTTATACATAACATATCGATATCATATTAAGAATAGCGATTCAAATCCAAAAATACTATCGTCAAGATTTAATAAACCAAAGAATTTATTAAAAATGTACTTCAAAAGTATAAAAAGTATCAAGTTTTTTTTATAAACCAACTATTTGATAAGTTGAAAATAAAGGGAACAAGAAGAGCAAGGTGATTAATGAACTAATAAGCGTTTTTTTTTGTTTTACATATTAAAAGATAAATTTTCATATTCAAACTTAACTATCGTAATGAAAAAAATTGATCTAAAAATTTCTTTGATTTGATTGGTCAATTCGGTTAATTAACCTAAAGCTTTTTTAGGTATATTTTTTTTAAAAAAAATTAAAAAACAGTTCCTATGTACTCACGTTAAATATTAAAGAAATTATAAAGAAATTGAAAATATCGATTATTTAGCACGCCTCACATGACATGACTAATGTAAGAAATAAAATCACATGACATATTTCATGGCAATTTAATTTAAATTATTTGAATTTATATGCAAATTAACATCATTGTTGAATTAGTATAGTGGTAACAGCTCTAGGCATGTTGCTTATAATATAAGAGTATCTCAGTAAACATGTCTTGAGTTCGAGTACTTGTATTTGAAAATTGAATGAATTTTTGTTTAAATATTTTGTTAAATTTTCATTTATAAAGTTTTTATTAATATTGGTCAAGTTTCATATTCTCTTTGGAATATAGTTAGGTTTTTAGTTTTTAGCAATGGGAAAGACCGGTCGACAACCATCCTCAGAAAACGGTTCGGTGACCTTATGAAACCGTTTCTTTTAATATATATACTGTAGCTAAATTTTTTTTAAAGATGAAGGACATTTTACATCTAGTTTATATTGTAAGCCTTAAGAATATTATTTTTAAAAAATTAATTACTTTTTAACACTTTGAAACCTAATTATAGGAGGATTAATTCTCCATCGTTTATTCTTACTTAAACTTTTTTTGACTCTTTGTAAGAAAGCGATCAAGAATATTATAATTCCAATTAATTATTTATAAATTCCAGAAGAAACTTCACTACAAAGTGATTAACAAGTATGATGAATTTTTTCTTCCAAAACCAATGATTAATTTAAATTTTATTATTTCGTTATTAAACAAACAAACTATTGACCGATGATTATATTTATTTTTTTGAATATATTTAAACTTTAAATGCTAGAAGATGCAATGACTTTTACTGTTTCACTACAAGGCGAACTAGTAGTAGATTTACTTTTATTTCTAATTGTAGCGGAAATGTGGTTTATTAATATATTACTTTAAGTTTAAAACTTGAGAAAATAATTTTTTTAATTTATCGTTAAATTGATTCTTTAAACAATTACCAGTTCTGCTTTAATTCTAATATAGTCCACTAGCTATATTATCTTATTATATGATATATTGTCTCATTTTCAATTATATTTACATTTCCAAATCGATGTTTATCCGAATTCGCCCATTATTGCTTTGAACAAAATCTAACTTTTTTCCATATTAATTTTATTTCTTTCAATAATGCAAAATCAAAATTTTGTTATGTGGAACTTTTTGACGATTTGTGATGATTCACAATTCCAATTTAACTAAATTTGCAAATTTAAAGGGATTTAACAGAGATTCGGATATAATTCTAAATTTAAAGCAATTAGTTGTATTAAAAAATATACCGAAGGGAATTAATTCAATACAAATTAATTATATCTTAGAAAATAAAATATTTTTGGGGGTGAAATCACAATTTAGGAAATAAATTGGGTCTGGATTAGTAATTGATCCTTATTTTATTTTTTTTTATTGGAATTGACGGGAAGTTCTGATTAGCTAGCGATACCGTTGATTTACATATTACTCTACGTCGCACAAAGCACAAATTACCTAACAGGGGATCACTTCAATATAAATTTTTTCAGGAGAAAGGAGACTCAGAAGTCACTAACTATTATTGTTAATCTTTTTTGAATCTGAGAAAAAAAGCGTCGCTCATGCATACATGCATTTTGGCTTTATGTTTTTACCGTTTATAAAACTTCACGTTGCCTTTGTTTATCAGAAATAGACATTTTAAATTATTTCTGAAAAAAAATCCTTTTTGAAAGAAAAAAGGGGTAAAACATATGGTATCGTAGAGTCAGATGGTCACAGTTAATCTTCGAATTGGATTTGTTGTAGCCAAAATGCGTTAATGTCCGAAATGATTTCGGATCGCATTTGCCCCCAAATGCGCATTTATCCCAAATGATCACGTCGGATAATATCCCAAATGACTACTTCAGACATTCACGAATTGTAATTTTGGACAAATGAACTCTTCAAATGACCACAGACACATAGGAAATTATCATTATATGTGCAAAACAAAAGTTGAATTACGAATTAAGATGCACTATATTTGTCATTTGAATCATTCGAAATGGCTTTTTGAGCATAAAATGGGGCCTTTGCAATAGAAAGGGGGGAAACTGCCGGAAAATTCAAAAATGAGTTAATGCTAAATTTGAACATAATTTGGCATATAAAAGGTTAAATTAATTTTTCCCGGCAGTTTTCCCCCTTTCTATTGCAAAGGCCCCAAATAGTCATATTGAGCATCCGAAATGATAATTTGGATAAATAAATAAAGTGGCTATATGAGACAATTCAAAGTGTTTATATCCTAAGTGGTCATTTTGGATATCCGAAATGATATCCATGATCTGCGCATTTGGGATATAACGATCTTCGTGGTATATCCGAAATGCTAATTTCGCATTTGGATTCATTATATTGCATGTCACGTGACTTGAATTACAAATATTTTTTAAAATCTCTGTATATAGGTCAAAATTTTATTATAAATAGAGCTTGAGTCGTATTATGAAATATTAATTTATTTATAAAAAAGTAATATTTATTAATTATGATCGTACGTGAATTACAAAATTTAGGATTGTTGATAATTTTATTATCTGTTATCAATACTTCCTCCCATCCATATCCTATACAAGAAGAATCGTATCGTACACATCCTGTACATAGAGTAGCGCTTAATCCACGAGGAACTGAGGCAAATAAAATATGCATTCATTGGTACGATTATACTCAACAAGAGAAATTGTCTGAATGCGACATATCAATTCGGGAACCAACATCAAAGACATCTCCGGATTGGTCAATAGGATATAAACTCTCTATTCATGATACTGGTACATTCCATAGAGGACCATTTTTTTGGTGGGATGGCTGGGTAAATGGAATATATTGTAACGATATACATCTTCATTTAAAGGGTGGGTTTAATCTTAAACTCTCTTTTAAATTGGATATAGCTTACGATAAATGTTTCTGGGACAAATAAATCAGATGATTATTAGTTGTATTTGTTCTAGTTATATTCTTATAGTCGAGATAACAGAAGGCATTTTTCTTATTAAATAAAAAAACAAATTAATTTTTCATTTCTTAATAAATAATTTTTTTTCGCCAAAAAAAAATATTGATCATTTGCACATTTTCTTTTTTAATTTAATTTAAAAATAACAAATAATAAGTTTGAAAACTTAATTCTTGTCTCTGTAGAATTTCAACATAAAAATTACCTGTCATTATCATTTGTAAACAAAATAAAGATGTTGATCCTTTTACACAAAATCTTGCCTAACGATTTTTAGTTCGACCTTTTGGCATTCATATAACTGGCCTTACATCTTCGTTGTATTGTTGTTTTATCTGTAAATAAACCATGGACCATCCAACTGCATTTCCTTGTAAACATTGGTGTGGTTTATGTTAGACTTTTTTATATCCAGCTCTTGTCATATACTTTGAAATAGTTGATCAATGGAGCTGTATTCCTTTTTGTGTTATTTTATTGGAAATATTTTTGAATGGGATAGATTTATCTTAACGAATATACAGGACAGGCTATATTTCAGTTGTTAACATTTTTTTCCTCCGTTTACGATTGAGATTTTCTTTACTATTAAAGTAATTTCGGGATTGTATAAAGAAATATTTTTGAGCATGCTTCCATATGTATGGGTGTACTTTATCACGATATATTAAAGTGAACATTTGATTATTTATTGAGAAACTATTTTGAGAGATAAGAATTTATGGAGAATGAATTACCTATTGAGTAATTTATATGGTTCAACCATTAGATTATGAAATTACATATTGATTTGCTAAAATTGGATGGCGCAGTGAACAGTCTAAACTGGAAAATTTTCCACAGAATGATACTGCGTATAAATTGATAAGATTAAGGGCCTAGCTTTCCGTCTCGTCTAAATTCATAGGACTTTAGGTTGTCCAATTTTTTTTTTTGTTTTTTTATTTATTATTTTTTTTTTTTTTTGATGCGGTACTTTTTTAATGACTTTATTAAAGATAAATAGAAATACAAAGTATTAAAATAGTACATATAATGAAAAAAGGTTGTCCAATTCCAATTAACTGACGATCTTAAAGATTACATTTTATTGTCCGAAATACAAGGCAATGTGAGTGTCACGATTATGCAATCATGTGTCATCAAACAAATAAAAAAAAGAACCATAAAAATGATTATTATCATCCGCTCTTGGATTTATATCTTGGCAGTTAGTTTGATGTATAATTATTTAACCTTCAGTAATGATGGTGAAAGAAACAGAACATTTATATTTAATATATCAAAAACGAACAAAATGATCGTTATTACATGAAATGTAGTAGCAAGTCACACGAGTAATCATTATGCGGTATCACAGGAATAAAGGATTGTTTATATGCATCAATTAAATTTTTTTATTTAAAAAGAAATCATAATTATTTTACAATTGAAATTATGAGTTGTCTTTTTCGTTTCTTCATTTTAAGCTACCTGTTCTTTAGAGTTGAAACATATACTCTTTAGGACGTTATGCCCATTCGACTGTCCTTGTTGATAATAAACTTTATATTTTTGGCGGAGTGGTCAATGTTGATTCAAATGAAGTTTCTTATTTGATATATCTCAACAATTTAATGCAGAGAACCCGCCATGGACCGATCTTACATTATATTCAGGAATTGGATTCAAAAGTTGTTATGCTTCTACCGTACTAATTAATATTAATAATAATCCGACTATTTACCTAACTGGTGGAATAATGCGAAATCAAAATAATGAGGATTCATTTATTTCTTTAGTATATGAATTTAATCTAAAATTAGGACAATGGATCATGCCTGTAATGAAAGGAAATGTTCCAGCACGACGTAGAGATATTCAAGCTGTTGCTGACGATTTTGGAAGTATTTATGTTTTTGGTGGAGGTGCCGATAAATATATAGGATCAAAAAATTTTCAAGTATTTAATGATACGGCAATATTATATACTGTTGTTTAGCATGGTCTTATGGTCCTATTGTCAATGCTCCAACACCCGTACTGATTATACTGTAACATTATTATCAGATGGTGTTATAATATATATTGGAGGTCGTGAGAATATCGATGGTGTTCTTGCTGTTGTAGATATTAACCAAATTTACCTTTATGATACAAAGTTATCATCATGGTAGTGGTACGTAATTTTATGATTATAACTCCTTCGTTAAATTAAATATTAAATTTCCTATTTTATTTTTTAAGCAAGCGAAAAGTAACGTTCAAATTGATTCTCGCTATTCACACTCGGCTGTATTAGGTAATATATTTTTACAATAATATTTAGTGTATTTAAATATAATGATTAATATATATATATATTATTATAGTGTCTTTATGGTGGGGCAAAGAAAGATTTAGACTCGAATTCTGTTAAAGTTTTTCCAGACTTGATAGTTTTAGATACTCAAATATCTCCATTTGAATGGACCGTCCCACAAGTATCATCAAATATTGATGAAGTACCATCGCTAAAATTTCATACGGAAAACTTATTAGGAAAATACATGATCGTTGCTTTTGGTAAGTAATTATTTTCATCATGAATATTAATTTATATTTTAATTTTATAATGAATTTAATACTTACTGTATTGGATTATAGGTGTCAAATGCTCCACCTTTAGGTAAAAGTTCAAAAATTTTTTGTTAGATATTAGTAGCTATACGTGGGTTAAGAATTTTGAACCTGTGTCTACAACGTTAAATGAGAAAAAAGCAAATTCTACAACAACTTCTGCAAAATCTACTCCGACAACACTAACAAATATTTCAGAAAGCAATTTAAGTAAAGTGAAAATTGTCATACGCATAATAAGTGGAATTGCCTGTTTCACAAATTTTTCAGCAGTTGGAATTTTTAGTTATAAATGGTATCAAAAAAGAAAGCATGTTGATGTTATTAGGATTTCAGGCAATATTTAGTTTTTAAATGGTTAAAGGTCAAGCTTAAAAGTTTTTTTTTGTATGAACCATGTCACTTAGTGTTTTTAATACCCAGATTTTTCAAATTCATTTTACAGGAAAATTATTGTCTTGAATATTTTAACTGTTGTAGATTAACAATAAATCTTTAATATTTTTTTAAAATTGAATAAATTAAAGCAGCATTATCGTTATTTAAACTATAATTGAATTGCAAAACATATGAAAAATATGACCATCAATACTTACAAATTTATTTGCTCCATTTTCCAATTTTTAATTTGTTAATTATCGTGCTCATTCATATGATTTAAACGACTTGTTTTTTGATATTTTTATTGATATCGCAAATAATCTACAATTAGGCTACATTAATATATTTTAAGCTAGTAAATAAAATAACATAAATATTTATATGTTATTTGACTATTAGTATTATTAAAAATAACTACGAAATTAATGAAAACTTTATCATTTTTGTAATTAATTCTTCTAATTGATTTTATTGATCTTGAGTATTATTTATTTCCTGAATTGGATGCTGAAACGGATTTTTATTATCGTTAGAACTAATCGTTGTAGTATAAATAATCGTACTTTTATCTATTTTTTTCAAAAAAATAATTAATAATGTTAAACAAGCATGCCATGGTAAATAGGTTATCAAAATTACTATAATAAAGCTTTCTCCATTGGTAAACATATGATTTCTAAATTAAAATGAACAAGTCTTTATACATGGAGAGAAAAAAAATTATATACTCACATCTTATATTTTTATAATTATCGCATTTTTTTGTTGTGAAATTCTTAATTTAGGTAGAAAATGAATATTTGCTGGAGTCAAAGATTTTTATTTAACAATTAATAGCGTCATGTCATGTCATGTCAACATTCAAATAAGCTCATAGTAATATAATCAGCATAATTTTTTTTTTAATATTATCAACCTTTCGGGTTGTTTTAATAAGTAAGCATTTTCACTTTATGTTTTAATTTTAATTTATTTTTTTCTTGTTTGTTTTTTAGGTTCTTTGATCATATAATTTGTTCCATTTAATTATAATAAAATTACTATTATTTTAGAACTTTCTCTTCATACTGCAGCGCTCTTTGAATAATGAATGAACATATTATTTAATTAAAATTTTCGGGTTCGAATTGCCGCAGATAAGTTTGTTCGTTCGCATACGAGCAAGAATTAGCCAAAAAGTTAGGAATTACCCATGCCCAAGTAGAAAAGATTTTATTTTGCCACATATCAATTCACTATTATTTAGGTTTTCGATCATCTTGGCGTTGGATTTTCCGATCTCGTACCTCAATTTTAATAGCAAACAACCCATATATTTAAATCTTCCCAATTATGATTTCAAAACATTATCGTTAAATTGAACTTTCAACTTGCGGTACTCAGTTAAAGTTGACTGACTGGTTTTATTTGCATTAAAAATGTTTTTTAAAAAAAATTAAAAATTTTTTGTCAAAAATCATTCCCTATACTAAGAGAAACATTAAGAGTAGGTTTTGAAATTGTAATACAGGTTATATATTTTTTAATATGCTTGTTGACATATTAGTAGATGAGATTGCATAGTTTAAGGAATTATGTTGGAATGAAGTTGTTTGCTTGGATACTTGAGGGCAGAGGTCATGACAATATTTACGAAGAAATCTTAAAAAATTTTTGATACAATATAACAACAACAATTCACACGAAGTTATCGCACATCACCCTAGTAATAAAAGAAAAGAATGCCAAAAGCTTAATGTTATGTGATTTTGAACTAGGCACCTAATACTAATGTTAATGCAAAAGCATATACTTATGCATTTAATGCTTCATTGATTTATGTTATGCTTTGCTTCATGTATAAAAAGTTGTTTTTTATTATTTTTTTGCTTGCATATAAAAGTAAATCTTTTAAAATTTTTGTTAAAATAGATTAAAAAAAATAAATACTTTCTTAGGGGTTTCACCAGTTTATTTGTTTTATATTCAGATTATTCTTTTAAATTCGGATTTGATCATTTCAAAAGTATATGTGGTATAATTATTTATTTATTTTAGTTTCCGTTTGGTCTTCTAGGCTGCAAGCTATCTAAATTATTCTAGATTATATTGGATCTTTTATTTTTTTTTTTAGAGTTTTGTAATTTATCGAAATGTCATGTGATTTCATATTATGCAATTTTATGTAAATTAATTATTACAATATATTACAAGCAAATAAAATAAACGCAATGTATTTCCGCACTTTTTACATTGACGTTGGTGCTTAGTTTTTTTTTGTTTTAAGGTTCATGAGCCGATTTAATTCTTTTTGTTCCCATTGGACGACCTTTACCACGATGAGGCCTTGGGATTTCACAATTAAATCTTTGTCATTTTTCCCAAGATGCAAATTTCTTTCCTGTGCTCGTGTACTTAGATAGGATTTTATCATTGAAACTGTATATATAGACAATAAACAAAGGTGGTCAATGATAATACAAATATGGTAATCAAATAATTTATAACCATACTAATGCCTGCATTTCTATATTGTGATTCAGATTCATAATTATGAACTGTGAAATTATTATAAATACAACCTTAAACATTTTTTTAAAAAATAATACTGTTATAAAGTTTGCCAAAAGAATAAATAAAAATACAGAAACTTAAAACCAAATGAATTTCCATTAGATTTCCGCCACATTCTTGAAATTCATTATTTTCTGCAATTCTTAGATATACTGTATCATACGAAGAAAATTGATATTTATGTATACTGTAATAACAGTTAAATTTAAACCGCATGAAGAATTTTTTTTAAAGCCAGTTAATGTTCTTGGACTGAGTGATGGTAAAGATTTTCTGTAACAGGGTGTTATGCCCGAAATTGTATTGAAACCAAGGTAACAGACAAGCAATACAGTATCCCGGAGGTCTTTCTCAATGGATATATCAACTAAAAACGATTTATTTATGATTAATTGTGTAGGTTGGTTATCGTAAGAGCGAGAAAGGTTTTAAAGTGTAATAGTTTTTATTTAATATTAATGCACGTAAATCTTTCGCCAAGACTTTTTACAATCGGACTGTACAATTGAAATTAAATTTCAAGCATTTCATTTATATACTAAACTAGAAGTTGCGATATGCAGGGGACTTTGTCCCCCATTAAGCGTCAGATTAAATATCTTATATTCATATAAATAA